GTCTACAAGAGCTAGTTCCCGGACAGGAACCAAAAAACTACGGAGAAACCCTGTCTCGAAAAAATCCAAAAAAAAAAAAAAAAAAAAAAAATGTTCAGCATCTTTGGCCAGGGGAAAATGCACTGAGGCTGGATGGATGACTGCGGTGGTGAGACTCTGGCCATGCGTGATCGTGATGGTGAGACACTGGCCATGCGTGATCGTGATGGTGAGACACTGGCCATGCGTGATCGTGATGGTGAGACACTGGCCATGCGTGACTGCGGTGGTGAGACACTGGCCATGCGTGATCGTGATGGTGAGACACTGGCCATGCGTGACTGAGGTGGTGAGACACTGGCCATGCGTGATTGTGGTGGTGAGACACTGGCCATGCATGACTGAGGTGGTGAGACACTGGCCATGCAGGCAGGAGGACCTGGTTTGGATCCCAAGCACCCATGTAAAAAGCCAGCTATAGAGGTTTGGGCCTGTAACCCCAACACTGGCACGCTTTGTACAGGGTATCACTGGAGCTGGCCATCCAGCCCGTGTGGCACTCGGTGAGAATACCCAGCATTCCTCTGACATTCCCAATATACACACATACACGTGAACACATGCACACACCTCACACCACATAAGCTGTATTGAGTCTCATGCAGCAATACCCCATGCACTTGGGCATCAGAGGCGGGAGGATTACAGCAAGCTATGGTCTACATAGTGAGCTTTAGGCCACCCAGGGCTTTGTGATGAGAGACCCTGTCTAATAAAAGTAAACAAAAACATTAAAAAAACAAGTAAGCGACCACAAATGTTGGTGAGGAACGGGTGTAGGGAAGAAGCCCCCGCACTGTGGCTGGGCACGCGCTAGTGCAGTCACTGTGCAAGAGCACAGAGGTTCTGTAGACAGCCACGCATGCACTATCACGCAACCCTCACACACCACTCCTCAGTGTACATGGGAAAGACTCCAAGTCCCATGGCAGAGGCAACTGCACATCCGCGTTTATTCCGATACCCACAAAAGCCAAAATACGGGGCCAGCCTGGGTGTGTCCATCAGCAGAAGGATGGGTGAAGAGAAGGGAGCCTGGTTACATGATGAGGTTCTCCTCAGCCACGAAGGGGAAAGAATGTGTTTACTGGAGACCGTGTGTGCATGTGTGCATGCGTGTGTGCGTGCGTGTGCATGTGTGAAAGTAAAAGGGAGCCTGTGGTGAGGAAGGGTCCAGTGGGAGAGGGAACAAGAACTCACTGGGGTGCATGTGTGTGAGAGCCAACTACGATATATATTTGTGAAAAACCCACAATTAAACCCATTATTTTGTGCATTGATTTTAAAATTATAAATATACATTAATACATTGGAAACAAAGCTAAAAGCACAGAACTGGGGAAAGAGTGGGGGCTTCTGAAGAGGCAGGACTTGGAGTGGGAGGGAGGGAGGCAGACGAAACAGCTGGTACTGTTCCGCTCTCTGGGGCCATCTGTGGCCCTGGGAAAGTCCCTGGTTTGTGACTGGGTTCCTACAACACCTGCTCCTACCAGGGTCTCTAGGTGGGGTGGCTCTCTTGTTTTTAATCTCCTTGGGCTCTGCCCATCAGTGTTCTCTGTTTTCAAGCCTCTCACATACCTGTCTTGGGGCATCCTGTGGGGTATCCTGGGCAGGCTGGTCCTAGTCCTGCTCTGGATCCTTGGGTCTGGGGCTCCACTTCCTACCAAGGAGGCTCTGTCTATGAGACCCTGATAGTGATCTACGGGCCCCACCCCGGAACAGGAGGGCCCAGAGCAGTTAGGTTGGCTCGGGCTCACTCTCCTTCCTGTTGTTCTCTGGCTTGGCAAAGCAGAGCCTAGGATGGAGACAGGTCTCCCCATGCAGTCTGAGCAGGGATCCAAAAGGAAAGAGGAAGTAAATGCCAGAAAGGGAGGTGGGTGCAGAGCTGGACCGCGAAGGGGGAAGGGCAGATGGCGCCTTCTTCACTCACTCCTAACTGGCGCTTGGTGTGGTTCAGGGCACAGGATTTCCTCTCCAGCCTCAGAGAAGGTAACACCTCTGCCCTACCTGCTATCTCAGCAATACAAAAAGGGGGGTGGAGGGGTCGTGACTCTGACATCTCAGAAGAGGTCTCAAGCGCACAGAGAAACTGAGTCTCTAGAGGTCACACCGCAAATGAAGAACATGGCTGGAGAGTGGCCAGGTCTGCTTGGCTGTGTTCCCTCCTCCTCCAGCTGCTGCTTCTGTGGCCCTCATTGTTTTCAGGAAGCAGCAGAAGTAGGGGTTGGGGAAGAGGTGGCTCCCACCTAGGGCCTGCCAGGTCTAAGCTACAAGGACATGGACTTCAAGTTCACATTCCTGAAGCTGCCAGTCTGCTTTGGCAAGTCTCAACCAAGGATCCTCAGATTAGAGAACACAAAGAACATTCTGTAAAAGCTGTCACCTCAGGGCCTGGCTTTCACAAGACCCAGAGTCCCCAGCAGGTCTTCCCCTAACAGTTACCCTCTGTACCTGGTCCCCACTCTCAGCCTCCATCCTGCCCTGGCTCCACTCCTGACGTTAACAGAGGCTCAGGCAAGAGTTTAGAGACGCCCCTTCCCTCCCCGCAACCTGTCCCAATGTCCGAGGAATATTCCGGGATGAGCCGGGTCCTTTTAGGAAGAGATCACATCTGTATCCTGGCAGCTTATCCAAGTCAGAGTGCTGAGGCACGTCCCACATCAAGAAGTGGAACCCTGACTTCTCCCTCGAGAATATTCTCACGTCTCCAGACTTAAGAGGCACTGTGAGGGACAGAAAACACCAACTCTATGAGCCACAGGCAGAGAGGAGATTGCTGCCAAGGGAGCCATGCCGGGCTCAGGCAGCTATCAGACATTTGGGGGCAGCTCGCAAGGACAAGCCTAAGCATTTCCCAACACAAGAAGCAGTCTTGCTCATGAGGGACAATGTTCATGACTGGGACACTGGAGCTTGGGGCCACATCAGGGCCCCTATGATGTACCTCTTCCCTTGAGGAAGATTTGGAAGGCAGACATGCTGACCCAGCTAGAGGACCCCTGGATGCTGCCTTCAAATGCCATACCAACAGCCCAGAGGAAGATGGGACTCTGGCCATCACACAGTGAGCGAGTCTGTATGCCTGGAGTCATCCGGGTCTAGCAGAGCTCCCACTTCTTGTGGTGTTATGAAATGGCCTACTAAGGGCTATGGTCCCTGGCCAATCCGTCAGCATACTGCCTGAGCTCCCCTGAAACACCTGCCTCCTGGTCTCACTTCCCATCCTGCCTGGTGCCAGATGTGCAACCCCTGGCTGTCCCTCTTGAACTCACAGAGATCCTCCTGCCTCTGCCTCCCGAGGGCTGGGATTAAAGACATGCGCCACCATCGCCTGGCTCAGCCTTCTACTCTTAAAAAAACTATTTAATTGTATTATTTTATATTATTTTGAGTGTGTGCGCATGTGTGTGTATGATGTAGGTGCATATCTTCCATGGCCTAAGTCTGGAGGTCAGAGGGCAACGGTAGCGTTGTTTCTCTCCTTCCTCCTTTATGTGGGTTCCAGGGATCAAATTCATGTCGCAAGGCTCGCTTGCCAACCACCTAGACCCACCAAGCCATCTTATCAGCCTGCTTCTACTCTTACCCATCTTGTTTCTCCACCCTCCTCTCCCCAGCCTCTTATGGAAGAGTTCAGGCCCCAGTCACTGAGGCTCACCGGCACCCCACCCAGAACTCCATGGGGGGGGGAGGGCTCCAGGATATAGAGGGTGTTGGGGCGTGGCCAGGGATTCTCCAGCATGCTGACTACCGAGCAAGGACACAAAGAAACCTCCTAACCGCCCAGGGCAGGGTAGTAGTGGTGCACACTAATCCCAGCACTCCGGAGGCAGGGGTAGGTGGATCTTTGTGAGTTCGAGACCAGCCTGGCTCTATAGCTACTGAGAAACCCTGTCTTGAAAAACAAACAACAACAACAAAAGGAACCCAAGGAACCCAAGTTCAAGGTCCTAAGCCCGACTCCGAGTACAACCATTTAGGCAGGTCCTAATCCAGGCCTTATGGGAAGAGGGAATTTGGACAGAGGGATACTAGGAAAGAAGGACCACATAGCACACAGTGACCCAACAAGAAGCAACCATCTACAAGGCAGGGAGAGCCTCAGAAAAGCTGCCTGTCAGCCTCTTGGACCTGGAGAAGGCACAGGCTGGCTGAGCATCTGGTGGGTGACTGCACGGCAGTTGGGGCTCTGGCAGCCTCTTCCTTCCTCTGAGCACTCAAAGCTGCTTTTTTTTTTATTTTTAATTTTTTTTGTTTGTTTTTTGAAATAGGGTTTCTCTACATAGCTCTGGCTGTCCCAGAATTCACTCTGTAGATCAGGCTGGCCTTTAAGTAAGCCACAGAGATCCGCCTGCTTCTGCCTCCCAAATGCTGGGATTAAAAACATGGGCCACGACTGCTCAGTGGCTGCCTTTAAAAAAACAAAACAAACAAAAAAAAAAAGTGTTTTCTATGTGCATTGGTGCTTTGCCTGAATGCATGTCTGTGTGAGGGGGCAGGATTCCCCTGGAACTGGAGTTACAGTTGGAGCTGCCATGTGGGTGGTGGGAATTGAACCCGGGTCCTCTGGAAGAGCAGCCAATGTTCTTAACTGCTGAGCCATCTCTTCATCACCTCACGGCTGCCTTGTTGGAATTTCTCTGCCTTCCAGTCTCCATGCTTACACTCACACCAATTCACTTCCGTTTAGCAACTGGATTCAATCACGATGTCATGATGGGAGACACCAGGTTAAGGAGTGGGAAGGGCCTGGTGGGTAAAGATGCCCCAGAGAAAGAGGAGGTTTGGGAGGAGGAAGAAGAAGAGAGAAGGCCAGGCATGAGAAAGCCCCTCACCTGAGAATATCACAAAGCGTTTTTTTATGGGACCGAAAAAGTGTTTTAAGTTTCTTCCAAGGCCTGAATGACTTGCCATCATTGTCCACAAATTTGTACCAACACTTTTCAAATTCTGAGATAGAAGAGGAGAGAAAGCAGTCAGGGGACATCAGGACTTTCCACAGTCCCTCCAGGCCAACTCTCCGACTGATCCCCCTTCACCGTAGGTCACGCCCCCAGGCACTCCCGCAGCCCTGATGCCCGCCCCTCACCTGGAAAATCCATGACAGCCATCTGGGCTCCTGCCTGATGCAGCCGGCGAAGCTTGTCGTGGTAGTTCGGGTGCCAAAAATAGTAGAGGCGGGAGCTGAAGATGGCCAGGCTCAGGTTGCGGTGAGTGTCCAGGAACCTGGCCACCTGCTCCGCACAGTCATCGCAAGGGCTCCAGGAGGAATACCAGGTGATCTTGTACTTTTCATTGGGAGACAAGACTTCCAGTACGTGGGTGTGGAACCAGTACAGGAAGCATTCTTCAGCATGGAGGCCGCCATTCTGGGAAAGAAAGGGGAATCCATAATGGGAGGGGAGGAGCAAATTGCGTGCAGGCAAATAATCCTGGCACTTGACTGGTTCTGTGTCTCCGCCCCTCCCCCATCCTTCTTCCTTAATTTCGCATCCCTCACCATTCTTGGCTTAGCTATCAACCTCACATCCATTCTGCATCTCCCTGGCTTCTCTCAGTAGCACTCTGAGCCTTGCTGGTGGCCATGTCCCTTGGGGGCAACTAGATATCATCTGCCGTATCTGCTCAGGAGGGCACGGGCTAAGATGGTCCCTTAACTGGGCAAGGGTAGCTCCCGAGTCTTGAAACGCGGCTCATGCATCTGAGTTAACATTTACAGCATCTGCACAACACACACGTCGTTTTGTTCCCTCTAAAATTATCTATCTATCTATCTATCTATCTATCTATCTATCTATCTATCGGTTTTGAGAGACAGGATTTCTCTGTATAGCCATGGCTGTCCTGGAACTAGCTCTGTAGACCAGGCTGGCCTTGAACTCAGAAATCCAGCTGCCTCCAAGGCCTCTGGAGTGTTGGGATTAAAGGTGTGCACTGCTGTGCCCGGCCATATTCTCAATGGAATGAGTTCCTGCCTCTTCTAAGAAGAGTCTAAACAATCTATTTAGGTTTGTGTGTGTGTGTGTGTGTGTGTTTTCCTGTGTGTTGGAACACACGTGTGCCAGAGCGTGTACATGAGGTGGCTAGAAATTGACACTGGATCTTTTTCTTGTTTCCTCTCCACATTGAGGCAGGTCCCCCACTGTACCCAGCCAGAGCTTGCTCTGGAGTGTCCTTGGCTCTGCCTCCCATTGGTTAGAATTTTAGCCGCCTTCTCTGTCCGCCTGGCTTTCACAGGCTTTTGTGGCACCCCTCTGCAGCCTCTTGGCTTTTATTTATTTTCTATTTATTGATTTGTTTGTTTAGACAAGATCTCACATAGCCCAGGCTGGACTCCAACTCTATATAACCAAGGATACACTTGAGCTTTTGGTCTTCCTGTCTTCACTTCCTGAGTGCTAGGATCACAGGTGTGAGCCACTGTGCCTGGTTTTTCTGTGCTGCCAAGGATCAAACCCAGGACTCCATGTACCTCTTTTCTAAAGACCCCTTGGCAAAGGGGGACAGGTACATCATGCTCCATCCTATTCACTTCATAGCACAAGAAGGTGTTCTTCCGGCCGTTGGCATAGCATAGGTTCTTAAAGTGGAAGTAGTATGTTCCTTGATATAACGTCTCTATCGGGTTTCTGCAGGCACAAGAGAGAAAACAGAAATTTCAGAGTGTGCCCTGGAGTGACTCCAAGCAGAACAAGGCCCCTGGAGTTCTGAGACACCGCCTGCCCTTGACCTTTGACAAGCCCTAGAGTCTTTCCAAGCCGGAAGATGGGGAGAGAAGAGAAAAATGCTGCAGCCAGAGTGGTACCCCCTCCTACCCACGTCCCAGTGCTGCTCCCTCCAGTGGAGCCCCTAGCTGAGACCACGGAAGGCCCCAAACTCTTCCACCCATGAGTAATAACTTTTAGCATTTCACCCCAGCTCCTTCCTGACGTGACACCTCTGCAGGGTAGAGGGGTTCTTAGAATCAAGGAAATGGTACCGGAGCAACAACTCATTCAGAAAAGCGCTGGCACACAAGACCTGACTCTCAGAGCAAACGTAAATGTCAAGCATAGGGGTGTGCCTGTCTAACCCCAGAGTTGGGGTGCCAAGACAGGAGCTCATTGGCCAGCCAGCCGGAACCTGCAGCTTGTTTCAGTGAAAGACCCTAGCTCATTAAAAAAGAAAAAAGGCAGAAAGCAGCTGAGGAAAACGGGCGACATCAGCCTCTGGCTCCCAGATGTGAGCACATATATACAACCCCTCACACCCACAGATCTACTGTTAGGGAAATTCCTAACTTCACATAGATAGTCTACTCTCAGCATTTCTTGGGTCTGATGAACTCCTCAAATCCTTCCAGGAACCTGAGGGAGATGTTCCCACTTAATAGACAGAGAAAACCCAAACCTATTCCTATAGCCTTTGGGGATCAGGAACAGGGGGATTATTCCAAGACTGAGTCCTGCTTATTCTTTACAGTGAGTGGCAGGCTAGCCAGGGCTTCATAGCAAAATCCCGTCTGAAAAAACAAACCAAAAGCAGTCAAACTGCCACCACCACAAATTCCCACAACACAGTAACAACCAACCAACCAACCAACAAACAACAAAACCGAGGAGACAGAACTCCCCTACCATAGAGCTGGGTGGGACAGAGCTAGGTCCGGTTAGGCCAGCTGATCCATTTTGTCATTAGGACAGAGGAGGGCATCAGGTAGGATCCTGGTCAGCAGCCTGTATAATAAAGGGCCAGAAGACCCAGACTTCAATGAAGAATGGTCAGAAGAAGGAGGGTCTTATCTCTGTCGCTGGGAGGAGAGGTGACTTCCAGGCCTGATTACAAGGCCACACAGGGCCAAGGCTATTAACAGATAGGTGCCTGCCAGACAGTTGCAGGCGGATCTCTGTGAGTTCGAGGCAGCCTGGTCTACAAGAGCTAGTTCCAGGACAGGCTCCAAAGCTACAGAGAAACCCTGTCTCGAAAAGCAAAACAACAACAACAAAAACCCAGATAAGTGCTTATACCTGGCTTCAGGAGATCTAAGCCTGTAGAACACACTGGCTGGCAAGGGGCTTTCTGTTGAAGATTTAAAGACAAGCTTTTTGTGCTATGCCTTGCTGAGTCCCCTCCTGGGAGTCGCTCTAGACAGGTCTACCCGTCACTAGACAGAATAAAGCTGTTCAGGGAAAGGTGATGTTTTAAAGACACAAGAAAAAGAAAAAAGAAAAAAAAAATAAAACCAGTATGGGCCAGGGAGATAGATGATTCAGCAGATAAAAGTACTAGCCTTAAAAGCCTGCACCCCTATCACACACACACACACACACACACACACACACACACACACACACACGGTTGCTTGGGGTGCCGGAGGGCCAGTGGTCTCTGGCTGCTGACCGCTCACTCCCACTCTGCTTTCTTGGCAATACACTGGGCCATCCTCCTTCTTACACGAGTTGTTCAAAGAATTCTTGAATCGAGATCAAAAGCACCAGTAGAGGGGTAGAAACCAGTGACAGTGTGGGAATAGGCAGGGTGGGGGCATAACTTTCATATATATATATCTTTAAAATATGCTCATGGCGCTTGACATTGCATATATGTACATGCGTGTATGTGTTGTGTATTGATGTGTGATGCTGAGCTGCCTGGAGGTCCAGAGATGACCTTGGATCCCCTGAAGTTGGAGATCATGGTTGTGAGCCATACCATGTTTGCTGGGAATTGGACTTGGGTGCTCTGTAGAAGCGGCAAATGTTCTTAACTGCTGAGCCATCTTTACAGCCATCTCCCGCCCCTATTTTTTTTCTCAAATGTTATCTGAATGATGTGGTTGAGAGCGGTCACAGTGACCATCCATCCAGGCAGTGGGGGTGTTGGGAGACTTCTCACTCTTTCTTTCCCGGGGGGACGGGAGAGGGCTACTTCTGAAAAGGTGATTCGCATAGTCTCAGAGAGTGGTCCCCTCTTCTCCCAGCGTCCCCCGAGGTTGGGTTAGAACAGCATGGACGTCCTAGGACATCCATCGAAAGTGCTCCAAACGTGATCGTCCAAGGTCTGCTTCCATGATTTGTCTTTAAATTCTGACGCCCAGCCTAGCCCAGGATCAGCAGGAAGACCTACAGGCGAGCAGCCCCAGTTTTAACAGGAAGAAATATGGACGGTGTGGAGAGGGGTGCAGAGGGGCCAGTGTAGAAGCAGCTATGAGGCAACTGAAGTGGCTTAGATCAAGGACCCTCGAGGGAAGTGGGAGCTACAGAGGATCGTGGAAGGGAGGGGGCGCAGGGCTGGGGACCTGGGGGAGAGGCCCAGCACATAGCACAATGGGGGCCACCAGGAAGAAACTGCAGTGGAAATTTGGAGTAGCGGGGTCAGCCGTACCTGATCGGTGAATAGGGTCTGCGATAGCGGCATCCCAGGCAGGTTGGTCCCATCCCAGCTCTGGGCCCCACGCGCTGGGGTTGCATTTCCTGTGTACAGGCCCTGACTTTGGGAGACCCCAGAAGTGCGAGTGACCTCCTGGGCCTTGTGAGTGAAGGCCCCACCCTCTTCCTGCTTCAGCTCCCGGAATGGGAGGGCTCTGGGCGATCGAGCCCAGCAGGCTCCTGCCTCCCTTCCCTCCTACCCTCTGCCCCCGGGCATGGCAGAGACCTGTTTCTCGGTACAGCGGCCCGAGGGGATCGCAAAGAGAAAGAGAAAGTAACTGATGGCAGAGGGAGGCGGGTGCCGAGCGCTTTGAGGGGCAGGACAGACGCCTGTAGGGTAGCCCCAGGCTTCTCCATCCAACAGACCCAACCCAGGCTGTGCCAGAGTTTGCAGCGGTAACTGAAGCCAAACCAAGGGTTTGACTCTCCGGGTGCGAAGGAGGCGTGGATTCTGGGTGGGGACTCCTGGGTTCTCTTCCCTCGATTCAGGACGGGAGGGAACAGTCAAGCTTTGGGTTTCTAGTTGTGGGCTTGGATTTTGACAATCTTCATCTCTAATTTCCCAGCCGCTCCAGGTGAAGAACCAGCCTGGGACCGACGGGAGCACAAGCTCAGATGGGTCATTGATGGCTCAGGATCAGACAGATCAGATGCCGGTGGTCCAGCTGGCATTAACGCTCGTGATCCAAACTCGTTTCCTGTTTGTCCCTGCAGATTAGAGAGACCGATGCTAAAGAGGAGCGGTCGATCTTGCTGTCCCCATCGACCTGGCTCTCAAGGGTGCCAGTGCGGACCAAGAAAAAGCTAGTGCACGCTGCGGGTTGTTGAAGGCCATCCAGAGTTCTATGGAGGAATGAATACACACGGGGTCAAGTCATCTACGTGCCCTTGGATACACGTCTGTGCGGGAGAATCCGGGCTCCCCGCAGAGACTCCGGGCTCAGTAAGTAGCCCGCTGTCCTGGAATGAGAGTGTGTCACAGCGCCCCCACCTGGCGGCCGTCTGTTCTACCTTTGTGCAGAGCGGATTGACTGGTTGAACTTGGTGGGATGAGGTGTGTGTGAAGTTTTTCTATTACCATGGAAAACAAATGGACACAATAGAATAGCCTTGATGGGAAATACTACTTTAACCAGAAGTAGACACATTTAAAAAGAAAATATAACAAAAAGGGACCCAGAAAACGCACCAAGCCCGGCTTCCAAGGAGTTAGAAGGCAGAATGCTAAAAACTCCAGGTTTGCAGCCAAGGAATGAACTCTGTCCCTTTATTATTTTGTGATCTTGGGTGATTTATTTAACATTCCCTAGTCTAATATTCCCCATCTATAAATGGACATTTAAAAACAAAACAGCCTGGCAGTGGTGGCGCATGCCTTTAATTCCAGCACCTGGGAGGCATGGGCAAGTGGATCTGAGTTCGAAGCCAGCCTTGTCTACAGAGTGCATTCCAGGACAGTTAGAACTATACAGAGAAACCCTGTCTTGAACACTCCCCCCCCCCCAAAAAAACCCTACTTTATGGAGCTACTGGCAAGAAAATATGGTTTGTGTAAGAAACTTAATGGGTACCCAAACTGTTCCAAAAACAGCCAAAGAAATGATACCACCACTCACACCGCGTTTATAACACAGTATTTGTACAAACTTAACAGGGGGGGTTGCTTACACACGTCTGTGGTTATCTTAACCCAGCTCTCGACACAGCTGGGGTCTTGTCTTCATTTTTAGCCAACTGTTCTCCCGGTGACAGAGTACACAGGGGAAGGGCCAAGCAATGGAAGAAGCTGGGTAGGTGGACTACTGCTCAGACTTACTCTGGGTCCTTCAGTGTGGTCCCCACATGATTAGGAAGGGTCAGGGAGGGCAGGGGTATTCTTAAAAACAAGTCAAGGTCATGGGTTGGGGAAGGTCAGGTTCCAGGAAACAGCAGGTCAGCTCCTACGGTGGGTGAATAGAAACTTATTTTTAACAATACAGCATAATGGCTCCTGTCTTCAAATGGAGCCAGGCGGGTTCCTCAGAATCTCACCCAACTTGTGTTTCTGGGTCTTAGTTAGGGTTTCGATTGCTGTGACGAAACAACTTGGGGAGGAAAGGGTTCATTGGCTTTTGTTTCCATCACTGCAGGAAGCCAGGATAAGAACACAGCAGGAACCTGGAGGCAGGAGTTGGTGTTAGGTGCCTTGGAGAGACGCAGCTTACTGGCTTGTACCTTATGATTTGCTCAGCCTGCTTTCTTCTCTCTCTCTCTCTCTCTCTCTCTCTCTCTCTCTCTCTCTCTCTCTCTCTCTGTGTTTGTTTTTTTTTTTGTGACAGTGTTTCTCTGTGTATTTGTCTGGAACTCACTCTTATTGCCAGACTGTGTACGATCTCGCAAAGATCTTGCTACCGAGTACATGTATTAAAGGTGTGAACCACCACTGCCTGGTCTCAGCCTGCTTTCTTACAGAATCCAGGACCGCCAGCCCAGTCATGGCACGCCATGACTGGATCTTACAGAGGCTTTCTCTCAATCGAGGGTCCCTCCTTTCAGGTAGCTCTAGGTATGTTAAATTGACAAAACTTGCTAGCACTCTGTGACTGGCTTGTTTCAATATCCTGAGTCCATCCATACTGAAGAAAGTCTGTGACTGGCTTGTTTCAATATCCTCAGAGTCCATCCACTCTGAAGAAAGTCTCTAATTTCCTTTCTTCCTTCTTTTGCTTGTTTTTGAGACACAGTCACTGTGCCACCCTCGCTAGTCTAAAACTCATACCTAACTGCCTCTTCCACCACATGGCTGGGGTTAATGGTGTATGCCACCATCCCCCCCCCCCCCCCCCCCCCGGCCTTCTCTGTTTTTTGTTTTTGATTTTTTGAGACAGGGTTTCTCTGTGTAGCCCTGGCTGTCCCGGTATTCTACACCCCCGTAGATCAGGTTGGCCTCAAACCCACTTTGATCCACTTGCCTGTGGCTTTTTAGTGCTTGAATTAAGGTGTGCCCCGCCACCACCCAGCCCAGTTTTATTTTTTAATGTCAAATACAGGCTGAGGCGGAAACTGAGTTTTAGAACACTGTGTAACATGCAGTGAGCCCTGGTTTCACCCCCCCCCCCCCAGCACAGAAAGGCAGCACTTAGGAGTGGAGGCAGGAGATCAAGAGTTAAAGGTCACTGGTCACTGTGGGTTGCTTTTGGAATGTGAGGACCATTGATTAATAGGGCACTGTGTGCTTGAGCCACGTTCTGCCTCTCCATCCATCCGCTGATAGACATTTCATCTCCACGTTTGCTCTGTCGTGACTAATGCAATCATACACAGCAACACACAAATCTCCCTTTGAAACCTTTCAGTTCTTTGGGGTGTATACTCAGCAGTGGAATCCAGGGTCATACGGTCATTTTATCTATTTATTTAAGTTTTTCTTTTCTTTCTTCTTCTTTTTTTTTTTATTTTTTTTTTTTTATTTTTCGAGACAGGGTTTCTCTGTAGCTTTGGAGCCTGTCCTGGAACTAGCTCTTGTAGACCAGGCTGGACTCAAGCTCATAGAGATCCGCCTCCCTCTGCCTCCCGAGTGCTGGGATTAAAGGCGTGCGCCACTACCTTCCGGCTGAGCACATGTTCTTGTGGCACAATTGAGCATCTTTTGGATAGATACCCAAAAGTGGTATTACTAGGTCTTGAGGAAGGTTGTTTCCTAATTTTCTGAGAAATCACCACACTGACATCCAAAGGGGTTGTACCAGCTTGCATTCCCACCAGCAATGCAGAATTGTCCCTTTTCCCCCACAACCTCTCCAGCATAAGTTGTCATCAGTGTTTTTGAACTTGGCCATTCTTACAGGTGTTAGATGGAATCTCAGAGTTGTTTTGATTTGCATTTCTCTGATGACTAAGGATGTTGAACATTTCCTTAAGTGTCTTTCAGCCATTTTAGATTCCTCTGTTGAGAGTTCTCTGTTTAGGTCTGTACTCCATTTTTTTTATTGGATTATGTGTTCTTTTGGTGTCCAATTTCTTGAGTTGTTTGTATACTTTGGAGATCAGACCTCTGTCTGATGTGGGGTTAGTGAAGATCTTTTCCCATTCTGTAGGCTGCTGTTTTGTTTTGTTGATTGTGTGTGTCCTTTGCTTAACAGAAGCTTTTCAGTTTCAGGAGGTCCCATTTATTAATTGTTTCTCTCAGTGTCTGTGCTGCTGGGGTTCTATTTAGGAAGTGGTTCCCAGTGCTAATGTGTTCAAGTGTACTTCCCACTTTGTCTTCTATGAGGTTCAGTGTGGCTGGCTTTATGTTGAGGTCTTTGATCCATTTGGACTTGAGTTTTGTGCATGGTGATAGATATGGGTCTATCTTCATTCTTCTACATGTTGATATCCAGTTATGCCAGCACCACTTGTTAAATATGCTTTCTTTTTTCCATTTGATATTTTTTGCTTCTTTATCAAAGATCAAGTGTTAAAAGATGTGTGGATTGATATCCGGGTCTTCTATTCGGTTCCATTGGTCCTCCTGTCTGTTCTTATGCCAATACCAGGCTGTTTTCAGTACTGTAGCCCCAGTACTGTAGTCCCAGGCTGGCCTTGAATTCATTATGTAGCTGAAGATGCCTTGAACTCCCATACCTTCTGCCTCCATCTCTGAAGTGCTGGGGTTAAAGACTTGTGCCACCAAGCTTGCTTTTTGTGGTGCTGGGGATCAAACCCAGGACTTCGTGTCTGCTAGGCAAGCACTCTACTGAATGAACCACACATCCTCAGCTCTGTTTGTAACTTGGGGCTGGGGTAGTGAGGGGAGGGCACTGCCACACTGTCTTCTACTAACAGCAGGCATCTGTTACCACTGAGTAGATATCTTCCTGGTGGCTCGAGCCTGTCCCCTCACCTATCTGATTGCTCTTTCCTCCTCCTCCTCCTCTCCTCCTCCTCCTCCTCCTCCTCCCCTCCTCCTCCCCTCCTCCTCCCCTCCTCCTCCTCCTCCTCCTCCTCCTCCTCCTCCTCCTCCTTCTCCTCCTTCTAAGAAAGGGTTTCACTGTGCAATGCTGGCTGGTTTGAAACTCACTAGGTGGACCATAATGGTTTCAAACTCACTGAGCTCTGCCTGCTTCTGCCTCTGGGATGCTGGGCTTAAAAAGCTTGTGGTACCAGGCCCAGCTTGTTTTTTCTTTTCCAAGACATTCTCTTAAGGGTGTAACGTCCCTCTTAAGC